TTTACTAAAATTTTTAAATATAAATTAGAAATAACTTTTTGTTTTAAATTATGCAAACCAACTAAAGTTTTTGACTAAGGTTGTTTACTTTAAAGTTGTTGTTGTTGTTGTTGTTTGCCCTGTTGCTGCCTTTGGAACCCAGGTGGTCCCGACTTAAACTGAGAAGTGGGATGGTTTTGCGGTTGTTGCCCAAATTGTTGGTGCTAAGGAGCTTGTTGTGGGTATTGCTGCTGTTGAGGGTAGTGATTCTTGACTCCCATGTAGTAGCTATTGTTGTTGAAGGGAAGTCGAGGTTGGGCCTGAAAAGCATTGACTTGCTCCTGCATTAACATAGTCCCATTAGAATTCACAGAACACTCCATTTTCCATGTGCTCATTTACACAACATAAAACATCATTGAGCCTAGAAGTAGCCACTACATTGGCGTGCATAGATGACCTAATGATATGTCCATTTCATATAGTATTTTACCCCCGTCCCTTGGTAATAATTGGTAGTGTTATTGGCTCTTTAGAGCCACTTTTTATACTAATTGGTGTTTTCTAGTGTTTTCTTAGTTTTGGTTTAGTTTTGTAGGGATTTGCACCTTTGGAACATTTTCCCGGGATTTTTATGGAGCAACTACGAGCATTGGTGGAGCACGACCAGTTTTCGTAGCCTAGGGCCGGTTAGAGTCATCAAACCGGTGATTAAGAGCTTAACATTGTGATACCGAGGCGTTTGGACTAAGTACTCAAGACCAGAAAAAGGTAATTCGGATTGGGCCGAAGGATTGGAGCCCAATCAAGAAGTCTAAAATAGCCCAAGAGTTTCGCCCGGCAAAATATGGCTCTGCTCGAAGGCGCGCTCGGCCTGGCGGGGCGAAAGAAGAATGAAGCACCCCTTCGCCCGAGCTCGCGCCTGGACGGGCGCAAAAGATGCCCTTAATGGATCGGGCGGTGTGGCGCCCTACCGGGCGCGTGTTTTTGAGGATGTTAGTTGAGACGATTAATACAAGAGGGGGGGGGGGGGTGAATTGTGTCGAGTTCCTAATGTCTACTTTTGCGGAATAATAAAACAATGCATATAGGAACTTGCAAGAACACACAGATTTTATGAGGAAACCTTCCAGGTCCCAACTAGAAGTAAAACCTCGACCCTACCTTAGGGATTTCAAACACAAACCACTTCACTATAATAGGGCAAACACCAAGTTACAACCTATTAAGCACAGACTTTTGTTCACAAGTTCCACACTTGCTACTCGATAGGACCCTATCCTACCCAATCTAAGTACCACACTTAGATTCACTCGTACTTCCAAAGTACAAAACTCTCAGCTTCACACTAGAAGCTTACACAACCTGTATGCGATGTAAAACGATAACAAACTCACCCAAATAAACCCAACCAATACAAATGTATGACACCTAGTAAATGATAGGAAAGCTATGCATGAAATCAGAAACTAATATGACAAGTTAGAAGCTTGGTAAACTTACTCCATTAATGCTTAGTGATTTCTCCACGCATGAACTCACAAAAAATTTAAACCATTTTGATCTCTACTATTTATACAAGTAGGACTTGTAAAGGCAGTAGGTTTTCTAAAAGATAATTAGTTAAGTTAACTTATCTTTAAAACACCGTTTTATGAAAATCATATTTGAAGAAAATCTTTTCCGGAAAATTAAGATAGAAAGATATTGTTAAAAAGAATCATATCTTTTAACAAACCGATTTTAAGAAATAAGACCTTTTAGAAAATCTTTTCTAAAATCTATCTTTTATATTTTCCTTATTAACTTATTTAACAAGCAAACTTGCAACGCTTCTAATAAATCTCGTGCATTAACCTACTTAACATATTAACAGTAATCTAGAAGATAAAAAACCTTAGCTAAATTAAATTGCTGCGCCGCGCTTCTATACATGTAGGTTACTTGGGCTCCACGCAGACTAAGTTCCTTCAGGGACCGTAGCTTGCTAACTTCAAGTTCCTGTTAGGGAACTCAGTTCTTTTTAGAGAACTTAGTTCTTGTTAGAGAACTCTTCTTCTTTTCTGTTTAACTTTTTGTATAAAGATCTCCTCATGTCTTCTTAGTTCCAGTTACTTCTTCCATCACCACGATCAACTTCACCTAAACTAATCAAACACTTGAAAACCTTTATTAGACGAGTTTGCTTTAGTTTAAGTTCCTAATCATCAAAACCTTTAAGCTTCAACAATTTCCCCCTTTTTTATGATGACAAACTTAAGCAAACTTTTGAGAAAAGTTAAACAAAATAGAAGGGCGTATTTTTGTATTTTTTATTTATTGACAAAAAGATAAACACATAGATAACTAAAAATACGAAAACAAGAAAGTAAAAATAAACAAAACAAAACATAAATAATCTAAGCAACTTAGCATCATATCAGAAGAAATTTCTGATACTTTATCAACTGAAACCCAGAACAACTTTCGCTTCCAAGTTTTCTTCTTCTTTTCCCCCTTTTGGCATTATAAAAATGTCATGCTTTTTCAAGTTTATTAAGAATCTAGCCACAACCCCACAAGCAATTCATCGAGTGTGGGAAACTGAAGGCAGCGCTGCTAACTTCCCTTAAGTAAGTTCCACTTTCCTGCATAAGTGTTCAAAACATACAAATACACACAAGTATAGGCCAAGTTCCAACTATTCATTTAAAAATCAAAAGATTTAACATCCTGCTGAACAATTTAAAAATATTACAGCCAAAATTAATTGTTCAAACACTAAAACAGAAATTGAAATTGTTCATGACTTCAAAGTGAACTAGGCTAGGCTAATAATAAGGTTGGAAAATAAGTTTGTAGAGTTAATTCTTCAGGAACTCCATAATTTGTCTGCTATCTTCCTTTTGTTTAGCAGCAAAAGAGTCAAATCTTTCCTCAAGACTCTCAATCTGTTGCTGAAACTGCAGTTTTTGATCCTTCAAAAGCTTGTCTTGCTGCTGCACAGACTTTTCTAACCTCTAAATCTTCTCAGCAGATTGTTGCACTACCTTTTCAGCTAACACCAACCTAACAGTCAACTTGGCAACCTGTCCATCCAGATCCCTGTCATCAGTATTCATCTTAACTGGCTTCTCCATACTTGTTTGAGGAGCAGAGCTTATTGACAGTCTCATGCTCTTCCTCACAGGCTGCTAAGCCTTTTCCTTTTCTTTTCTTTTTCCTGTTTCTCTCTTCTTTTACCCTTCTCCAGTTTCTGAATCTTCCCATTAACCACCTCCAAGCTAATTCCCTGCAGATTTTCCTTATTTATCACATTTTCTGGTTTCTCCTCTAAACCTCCATACTTTCCCTTTAAAACTATTCCAAAACTTTCAAAGACTGTGGAAAAGATGGCTCCATATTCAACCTTAGTGTTACTTGGAACATAATGTGCCAATTGCTGAAACATAAGCGAGGGAAAATTTATCTTTATTTTCTTTGATAGACAAAAAATCACATCCATGTCCATTAGACATGCTTCCCCCCTTTCTTTGATGTACGAGGCATAATGGTTTTCTTTACTAAATTGAACAGCAACTTGTTCAATGGGCTTAAGTCATTGTGACTCATAATGTTCTTCCCCCTTTTTCCTCCAAGAGCTTCAACTATGTCATCACTCAAATACTTTCCAACTTTTACACTGGCCTTCCCTTTGATGTAGGTCTCATATCCACCAATAGGTGTTTTCAGAATTTTGCCTAGGGTTTCAACATTGAACTCAATTTTTACCCCATTAATTGCACTAGATATAACTCCCAATTTAACTTCAAAATTCTAACAAAAATCAGTCATAGCAATTGGGTACATGTAATTATCAGAGGCTTTAGACAACACATATTCACAACCTTGGAACTTAATTAAATCAAGAAATTCTAGGAACCTAGCTTTTCTACACCAAGTCAAATCAATGCGATGACCTACAACATACCTTCTTGCTAGTGATTCAAGCTCAGCTTGATCAATGATCTCTTCATCTTCTTCCTTCTCAGAATTTTCTCCGTCCGAGTCCTCTAATTTTTCAACAAAATCCTCAACTTCTTGAATGTGTTCCTCAACTGTCTTTCTCTTCTCTTTCATCTCCTTCCACTCTTTCAATTTCACAAGAACTGAGTGAGACATGAATTCCTCTGATTCTGCAGATTTAGGGTTTTGAGATGGAGAGGATAGGCCGGGTTTGGCTTGAGGTTCTTTATAGGACATTAAGGGAAGAGATGACACTTCTTCTTTTCCTGGTTTTGGAGGTTGTGAGAGCTTTCGGAGGAGGTAATTGAAGTGATGATAACCATGTTTATGTCTTGAAGGGGTAGAAGTTTGTAGAAGGTTTTTCACAGTGGGTAATTTTGATTTGACAGTGATGATGTAAAGGTGGGTGAAGATTCCTTTTATAGTAAATGAATCGGTGCGAAGGAAATTAAGGGTTTTTCACTTTTCAGTCATTAATTAAACATATTCAATTAATTTTTCAAATTTTAAATTAACAGGATGAATTTGCCAAAATCCTTTTCTTTCCAAATTAATTAAATTAAAAAAAACTTTTTGAAACTAAAACCCCACAATTGGAACACGCTTTCTACACATGTGTAATGTACATAATTAATAACTTACAAAGTTAAGAGTTTTAATGAACTTACCTCTAGTAATTAACAACGGTAACAGTTCAGCTATGTTTAGCACACCAAGATTGTGCTAAATGCTCTTTTTGCTCTATTTACATTATTTTTGACTTTGTCATATCTTGGAACTTCAGAAGCAATCAATTCATCTTGATCATCCCAAGTTCCAATATCAATTTCCCAAATCTTTCTCTGCTTAAGGGCTTGGTTAGAATATCTGCAATATGATTTTCAGTATGACAAAATTCTAACTTAATATTCCCTTGCTCCACATTATCTTTTAAAAAGTGATGCATGCCTAATGTGGATATGTTTTACCTTTGAGTGTTGAACTGGATCCTTAGAAATACATATAGCACTAGTATTATCACAGTAAATAGTCACACATTAAAAAATAATACCAAAATCTCTATCCTGTTGCTTTATCCAAAGTACTTGTGAACAACATGCTGCTGTTGCCACGTACTCAGCCTCAGCTGTAGACATTGCACCTGTGTTTTGCTTCTTGGAACCCCGAGAAACTAAAGAAGGTCCTAAAAACTGTACCATACCTGAAGTGCTTTTTCTATTGACCAAATCACCTACATAGTCAGCAACATTAAAGCCATTTAAATCAAAGAAGTCACTTCTAGGATAGAAGAGACTCAAATCATAAGCTCCTTTCAGGTATCTAAGGATTCTCTTTACTGCTTTCAAGTGAGACTCCTTTGGGTTTGCTTGGAACCTGGCACACAAACCTACACTAAAAGATATGTCAGGTCTACTAGCTTTTAGATAAAGTAAAGAACCTATCATACCTCTATATATAGATTGATTAACACAAGTTCCAGTTGGATCTTCATCCAATCTGGTTGCTATACCCATTAGAGTGTTATTAGTCTTAGCATTATCTAGCTTGTACTTCTTGATAAGTTCCATGATATATTTTTGTTGATGGATCATGATTCCTTCTTAAGTTTGCTTGATTTACAATCCGAGGAAGAAGTTTGATTCTCCCATCATACTCATTTCAAATTCTCCACTCATAAGGTCAACAAAATACTTGCACAAAGATTCATTAGTTGCACCAAATAAAATATCATCCACATAAATTTGTACAACTAATATGTCAGTCCCATTTGATTTTAAAAACAAAGTTTTATCTATTGTACCACGTTTAAAACCATTTTGCAGTAGGAACTTAGACAATCTTTCATACCATGCTCTAGGAGCTTGCTTCAACCCATAAAATGCTTTGTCAAGCTTATAGACATGGTTTTGGAACTCTGGATTTTCAAATCCAGGAGGTTGTTCCACATAGACTTCTTCATTTAAGAATCCATTTAGAAATGCACATTTGACATTCATCTAGAACAACGTAAATCCCATATAAGCAGCAAAAGCAATAAGTAAACGAATAGCCTCTAACCTGGCCACTAGTGCAAATGTATCTTCATAGTCTATTCCTTCTTGTTGATTGAAACCTTGAATAACAAGTCTTGCTTTGTTCCTGACAATAATACCATGCTCATCTAGCTTATTCCTAAACACCCACTTTAGACCTATAATCATCTTATCCTTGGGTCTAGGTTCCAGATGCCAAACTTTATTTCTTTCAAACTCATTTAACTCAGCTTGCATAACATTAATCCAGTTTGCATCAGTTAAAGCTTCAACATAGTTCTTAGGTTCCATAGAAGAAAGGAATGCATAGAATGCACAAAAGTTTCTAAGCTGAGATCTAGTCTGAGTTCCTTTTGTAATATCACTCATGATTGTATCCACCGGATGTGATTTATGATATTTCCATCGTTTTGGTGTAAATTCCTTGACTGGATACAACCTTTCCTTATTATTGTTGACTGGTTCTTCTGTAGGAACTTTGTCTTAAGTATAAGTTGGAACTTCAACAGGATATTCCTCAACCTGATCTTGATTTTGTTCTTAAGGAGGAGTTCCTGGTGCATTCTCCATTTCATATTCTGCATTTGCTTCTTGATTCGTTTCTTCTACATTTTCAAGTTGCTGCTTCTGCAATGATGTTGATTCCTCACCTGGATCTGGCTTGCGCACAAGTTCAATTTTAAAATCATCATCACAATCTTGTACATCATTTAACTGTTCAGTTTCATCAAATATAATATGTACAGATTCCTCAACACACATTGTTCTCTTATTATAAACTCTATAGGCTTTACTATTTGAGGCATATCCTAAGAATACTGCCTCATCACTACGTTCATCAAACTTTCCCAAGTTCCTTTTACCATTGTTATGAACAAAGAATCTACATCCAAAAGATCTAAAATAAGAAATATTAGGCTTTCTCCCTTTGATTAGCTCATAAGGAGTTTTGTTGGTGATGGCTCTAACAAATACTCTGTTAAGAATATAACATGTTGTATTCACTGCTTCTGCCTAGAAGTTCCTAGGCAGTCCACTTGAGATCAGCATCGTTCTGGCCATGTCTTCAAGGCTTCTATTCTTGCGTTCAAAAACTTCATTTTGTTGTGGAGTTTTATGGGCAGAGAAGTTGTGATCCATTCCATCCTCAGTGCAAAACTCATCAAATTTTGAGTTTTCAAATTCAGTTCCATGATCTGATCTAAGGTGAATTAGTGGATTACCTGTTCTTCTTTGTTCTTTCTTTACAAAGGCTACAAATTCATCAAATGTCTCATCTTTGCGAACAAGGAAGAAAACCCAAGTAAATCTTGAAAAGTCATCAACAATAACTATTACATATCTCTTACCACTTCTACTTTGGATTCTCATAGGACCACATAAATCCATATGAATAAGTTCCAAGGGTATTTTGGTACTTACAATTTTCTTGGACTTGAAAGAAATCCGAGTTTGTTTTCCTCTAACAAAAGCATCACACACTTTGTCATACAAGAACTTAATGCAAGGAAGTCCTTACAGTAGTTCCTTAGATCTAAGTTTATCAAGTAAAGTAAAGCTTGCATGGCCAAATCTCTTATGCCATAATAGAGGATCATCCTCAATAACACTGAGTCATGTTAAACTGATGTTAGAAACCTCGTTAAGATCAACAACATATGTGTTCCCTTTATGAGTTCCTTCTAAAATAATGTTCCCGGTGTCATTGTGAATGATTATGCATTTATTGGAAGTAAAGCTTACAGAGTTACCTTTGTCACAAAATTGTGAAATACTTAACAAGTTGTGTTTGAGACCCTCGACAAAAATACATTATTAATAGCATGGGAACTTGACCTTCCTACCTTGATAATAGCAATTATATCTCCTTTCATGTTATCACCAAAGGTCATAGTTCCCCCATAGTAGGCATCCAGTGAGAGAAATCTAGATTTATCTCAAGTCATGTGCTTTGAACAACCACTGTCGAGGTACCAAGTGTTGTTCCCCCTCGCTGGAACCTGCAGGAGAAATCATACGTTAGTGTCAGGAACCCAGGTTTCCTTGGGTTCCTGTGTAACAGCAACAAGTTCATTCTTCTTGATCCAGATCTGTTCTACATGTTTTTCATTTTTCTGTGTACTCTTTTCTTTCTTAGGACACTTAACCTGTTTATGTCCTGTATTGCCACAGAAATAACAAACAATACTACTAGGCAGGTCAACATACTTCTTTTCCTTTTAGAACTTATTTTTGTAACCCAAACCTTCAGTTCTTTTGGTTTGAGCTTTGGTGATCCAATCTGGAACTCTATACTCTATAGGTTGTTTGCCTTTCCTAAATTTCTAATGTTTCCCCTCAAGTCGTGCCTTATCTGATTTTAGAACTTCCAAATCAGATTTTAGTATTTCAAAATTCGGATATTGAGCAAGTGCAGGAACTTCAGAATTAGGAGCATCAAGACAGAGTTTCATCAAGGAAAATTCCACATTTAACATTATATTATCATGTTTCAACCTATCTATAGTTTCTTTCAAATAATTATTGTCATCAAACAGACTAAAGAACCTGTATTGAATGTCAAATTTCATATTTTCAACCCACTCACTGATTTCTTTAAAATTTACCAATGCTTCATCACTTTGCTGTTTGGCTCTATGTAATTCTTTTTAGTCTTCTTGTATTTCCAAAACAGCATATATCAAGTTTTCCTTAGAGAAATGTCTTAGGTCTTTTTGAGAAAACCATACCTCAGATTCTAGCTCCTTCAGTTTTGCTTTTTCATCTGTTTTTTGCCATCAAACACAGATGGGTAGTTTCCTCTAATGGTTGGTCCTCTTCTTCCTCTAAATCTGAATCTTCCCAGGCAGCTAGCATAGCTTTCTTCACATTATCTTTGGTGAAGTAAGGTTTATGGACTCTTGACTCCTTGGATTGCTCCTTGCCTTTTGTCTTTCCTTTATCACCATCCGGTACAGGACAATCCTTAATGAAATGATCTTTAGACCCACACTTGAAACAAGTTGTGTTCCTAGAACTTGTGTACTTCTTGTTCCTATCGAACTTCTTGATGTTCATCATCCTTTTAAATCTTCTTACTAGCATTGCCATCTCTTCCTCATCAACTTTTGATTCCTCTGAGTATTAAACCTTAAGAGCAAGACTCTTGTTCTTGGAACTCTCAGTATTGGAACTCAGGTGAAGTTCATGAGTCATCAATGATCCAGCTAGCTGTTCCATGTTGAACTTGGTGAAGTCTTTAGCTTCCTGCATGGCAGTAACCTTGGATCTCCAGCATTCATCTTGTGGTAGGCTCCTTAAGATCTTCTTTGCCTGTTCATTAATAGGAATGTATCTTCCAAGGGAATTCAATTCATTAATAATATCATTTAACCTAGTAAACATTTCCTCTATAGATTCCTTAGATTGCATTTCAAACCTTTCATATCTAGACACAAATAAGTCAATCTTATAACGTTTTACCTCATTAGTACCTTCATGAGTTACCTCTAGTAGATCCCAAATCTGTTTAGCAGACTTGTATCCCATGTTACAAATATGTTCATGAGATCCAAGTCCACAATGTAAATATTTTATGGCTAAAGCATTTAATTCAAGTTACTGATAATCTTCTTTATCATAATCAGATACAATGTAAATATCTGGTGATTTTGAAATAACCTCGTTCTTTTCATTGGTTGAGGTTATTTCAAAATCACCAGATTCAATAACACGCCAAACCTGGTAATTTTCAACCTTGATGAAGATCTCCATTCTATTCTTCCAGTAGGTGTAAAACTTACCGTTTAACATGGGTGGACGTTGGGTGGAATACCCTTCTTCAAGTTTATCGTTATAATTCATCTCTCCGGGAACTTACTCAGCAAATTTATTTGCTTACACGTGAGAACCTTGCTCTGATACGAATTGTTAGTTGAGACGAGTAATAAAAGAGAGGGGGGTGAATTGTATCGAGTTCCTAATGTCTAATTTTGCGAAATAATAAAACAATGCATATAGGAACTTGCAAGAACACACAGATTTTACGAGGAAACCTTCCAGGGCCTAACTGGAAGTAAAACCTCGACCCTACCTTAGGTATTTCAAACACAAACCACTTCACTATAATAGGGAAAACACTAATTTACAACTTATTAAGCACAGACCTTTGTTCACAAGTTCCACACTTGTTACTCGATAGGACCCTATCCTACCCAATCTAAGTACCACACTTAGATTCACTCGTACTTCCAAAGTACAAAACTCTCAGCTTCACACTAGAAGCTTACACAACCTGTATGCGATGTATAAAGATAACAAACTCCACCAAATAACCCAACCAATACAAATGTATGACACCTAGTATATGATAGGCAAGCTATGCACGAAATCCGAAACTAATATGACAAGTTAGAAGCATTGTAAACTTACTATATTAATGCTCAGTGATTTCTCCACGCATGAACTCGCAAAAACCTTAAACCATTTCGATCTCTACTATTTATACAAGTAGGACTTGTATAGAAAGTAGGTTTTCTAAAACATAAATAAGTTAA